TTGACGTGTATGCAATAGCGCGACTGTTTCCTGAATTAGGCAAGTGCAAACCGATGGAAAGAGGACGGTGTGGAACTAATTGTCCTGGACAGTCAGGAATCGAGAATTGGATGCAGTGAGATTGGCCACAAGATAGACAGGCAATTTGTGAGTTGCGTAGAGGATTGCAGAAACATGCCAAGAGAAACTGAGATCCAAAATGTTCAATTCTTTCCACACCAGTTGGCTCCTTTGGACAAAGAGGGCTTCTAGCACTCGTGAACGACGGCAAAATATTGACTCCAAACTCGAAACATGGTGTTGAAAAACCCTCCGCGGTGATCCAAGATCACAGCGTCGGTGTTTTTCCATGTTTTTCCCTTCGACAAGAATGACCTGTCACAGGTTCTTTTAAATCCTGACTTCGTGAAGATGTTGGACATGGCTCAGACGTTGGCACATCAGGAGCTGTTGGGGAGTCAGTCGTGGTCCAAACGGCAATGATATCTCCTGATGTTCAAAATTGTCATGAGGAATCAAGGTACACGTGCTGAATTGATACATCAACTCGTATTCGTTCAAATGCTTAGTTTGCAAGCATGAAATGTTCATGATATTTCATCTTCATTTCCAACCATGTCCATCATTTCCAATCATTTCCAGCCTTGAAACCTCAGGAGCTTCAGCACCAAACCAACTCCATGACGGCCAAGTGCAGTATCATGATCCTTTGGTCACTCGTGCCTTGGTGTTACATTAACATACGTACATTAAGTCACACATGTAATATGACGTAGACATGTATAATATTTATATACATGTGTATATATATAATATGTATATATATATATATATGCACATAGTTGTGCATGTATGCTATGTACATAGCTTCAATAGTCAATAGGCTTTGTATCTGCTGGTTGAAAATTTGGTCGCCGAGGCCTCCTTAGAGACCTTTCCAACAGATCTGTTTTCCTTGCTGAGCCGCGTAGCGGTTCCGAAATTGAGAACCTGTGACTTGGCCAAGCGCGGCCACGGGGTATTATGGGTATAACACCCACCATTGGTATGTGATGGGATATGCAAATGGTATATGTAAATATATATATATATACATACATACATACATACATACATAGCCAAGAATATAAATATAAAAATGTGTGTATATATATATATATTTGTTTGTTTGGGCGTGTCCAAGAATTGAGAAGCGCCTCCAATATTTGAACTGGGAAAGTGATGATGAAGCAGTTGTTTGGGAGTAATTGCATGTAATTACCATATATCCATGGGCCATGGACAGTGAAGACCTGAAGGGGTTGTTGCAGCACAAAAATAACTGGGGTGATGAAGGATATATAGCAGACCTACAGTCAGACATAGAAAAGGCCTATGTCTTGTGGAAATCATTGATGTTTCAACCTTGAAATCCCCTGAAAGTCTTGTGTCTTTGGTCCCGTTATTGACTCAGCGAAGTCATGACAGGTGAAGTTCACGATATCACCAACCTCCTGCGGCTTGACCGAAAGAGTGTGGTAGGGCCTATAGGGATGCCCATGGGATGCCCATTATGTGGATATATGGGGATACACTCCAGTGAACCAAGTGTTGCAACACATCGGTACAAATGAGAAAACACATAAAAACATTTACCTTTACCATTATATTGCATTCCATAACATTCAATTATATACATACCTATATAAACATATACATTATTAAGATAATATTGTACATATATACAACGTAACCCTAGAGAACCATCAAGGTTTTTGATAGTTGCAACGCTCACCTCACATGATGAGACCCATTATCATGAACAGTAGAGGGTGGTCTACACCAAGGTTCAAAAAGGTTTCTGTGCGTGAAACTATGCCCGAAGCATATATGAGTCAGAACGATCCAGGGTCTGTGATGGTGATGCCATGATGCCAAATAGATCCTGCTGCGGTTTGTAGGTGGTCGTTCGCAAAGCTCTATAAGATTCGCCCTCACTTGATACCGCATGTGGCTGGTGCTGGCATTGAGATTTCTTTCTGAGTCGTGTTTTTGTCCTTTGCTATTTGGGTTGTCCTGTCACGTTACTATTGTGTCATCAACTTTCTGGAGACGTTGCTCCTGGGCTTGATCCTAAATGTTATCTACAACATTCAACAACTTGTTCTTCGCCCCTTCCCGTTTCAAAACATCAACTAGTTTCTATTCGAACGACACGTAGCTCTTCTGTTTCTGCCGAAAAATAAAACTCTGAGAAAACGAAAAATCCAGGCATCATCATCATCATCATCATCATCATCATCATCATCATCATCATCATCCCTGTCATCCCCCGTTTTTTTCTAAGTGCAGCTTGTTTGAAGTCAAGAAAGTTTAGGTCAGTATGGAGACTCCCTTGGTCGTGAACACCAGTGTGGATGCCTTGAGCCAACATGACCTCAGCTCTTTCACCGTACAGCTGCTGATTTCGGTGCCCTGGACGGTGGTGGTGGATCAGTGGTGCTGGAAATGGGGCATTGTGGGCAGCCAAGAAAAGGACCATTTGAAGGGTAAAAATGGATGAAAATGGAGGATGAGGCATGACATTTTGGAGTTTGGAGAATTTTCAGACAAAGCCAGATGGAGTTAGACGATTTGATGGGTCTTTGATCGATGTCAAAAAAATTGCCAAGTGGATAAACATTGGGTATACACCAAATTTGGGCAATTGTTTGCCTGGATGGCCCAGGTGGGGCACGGCAACATTTTGACCAGGTCGTTTAGAACCCCCAAAAGTGGAGGTTTGACTAAAAATATGCAACAATTCAGTTCTTAAAATTGTGTTTCCCTGCGTCTTGAATTCAGTTCTTAGGACTAGCTTTAGATTTGTAGCTTGTAGACTCAAGACATTTCTGGGCCTTTCGTCCAAAAGAAGAGGATGGTCTCGAACCCTGACCATATGAGCAGAAAGGATCCCCGCTGGTCTTCCAAACATTCAGGTTGTTCAGGGCCAGGTTTTCTTTTTCAGCTTGGGGGCAGCACATCCAAATGTTTGCCCTCTGCATGTTTTTTGTGTATATATTTGAAGGTGAATGTTTGTTTTTTTTCCAACTTTGCCCAGCAAAAAAGAATTTGAAGCAGGAGCCCTATGGTGACAAAAAATTCTGCTAATGCGGTAGACCCAATGCCATAAACCATCATTACCCCAAGTCATCACCATTTTTATGGGTGGTATAAACTAACCATCCCCAGTCGTGGTAGGTTTATGGCCAGGGTTGCCCTGGCCACAAACCTAAGGCCTTGGTCTCGGTGGCAACCTTGCCATGTCAGAGCCACGGTGCCATGTGGCTCTTCAGCGCATGCAGTCAGGAGTAGGGCGAAAGATTTGGGTTTGGTACCTGAACAAATTGGAATTTACACCAAATTGATGGGCAAAAAATGGACAAATGAGGATACATGGCAATTTTGATAGGGAAGATACGGGAAGATGATGATAACTGAATATAACTGATCATATACACTAATACAAATTGTAACCGGTGGATTTTGGGGTACTCTATTTTCAGATCAATATGTTGTGGGGTACGGTGTAAAATCTCATCCATCCAGGTCCGTCCATGAATATTCAGAAGATTGATAGCAATGGACCATGGATCATTTGAATACTGTATAGCACATGGGGGAATCGTCGGCAAAATACATTGCACGCGGGGCAAAGTATTTGCACTCCAATCGACTTTGGAAAACTGATGAACTGCACTTTGACACAACTTGAAAAGAACGAGGTAGTGCTGCTCAGATTAGTTTTCAAGTAGTTTTTTTCCTGGTTTGAGTAGTTGTTTTTCATAAACACATGCCATCAAGTCGCACTGCTTGAATGATACTTTGGCTGCTCGTTGCGCTTGGTCAGGAGGTGGCAAAGAAATGGGAGCAGATCCCCAAGAAGAGTAGGTTGGAGCCCGGGCTATCCCGGAAGGACATCCCTGTGGTTCTGTTGGATCCCAATGAATTGAACATGACCGTCTTAACCAAAATCAGCGAGGTCTTGATGAAGTTTGATGAACCATATTTTGAGATTTTTGAGAAGGGGAGTCTCCTCAAGTCTTTCTCTTTCACAAGAAATCAGAATATCATAGCATGACAAAGATTTTTCCAAAGTAGCATGTCCAGTTGCCCGCAATCAGCTGGCAAAAATGCTATGACCATGCTATGACCTTTGACAAACCGGGCAGGTCGCACGTGGCCTTCTCCTTTCGTCTGATGCGTTTGCAAAATTGTCTCCTGGCCAACTCTGTGGCCAAGACAGTGACGCAGATCTGCCCCGACATGCACTCATCGGTCTCGCGGCCTCGGAAAGGCAACAATAAACAGCAAAAAGGCAAGCCAGCCGCTCAAGCCGCCCCTGCCATGGTTGTGCAAGGCGTGTAAAAAGTTGGGTGAAGCTTAAGTTGATTTGAGATAGTGCGTGTTGCATCTTGTAGCTTCTTGTAGCTTCTCATAGTTTGTCATAGCTTGTCCCCTCTTGCAAGAGCAAAGCTTCTGGCCCACTTGCGCCTATTCCTGCCCACTGCAACATGGATTCCAAGAATCCAGCCCAGCTCCAGTGACCTACCTCTCAAAATGTGGGAGTGGGAAAGGGCCACGTGTTGCACGGGAAGAGTAGAACATGGTAGAACCACTTTTTGCCACTAGAATTTGTGGATTGAAATCATTGAAATCTTCGAATCTGAAACACAGTTCGAATCCCAGTGCCTCGAGGGCATCCGGTTTGTGAGAAACTGACGACGAGGCATTCTCAAACAAATTCCCAAGTTCCCAGCCAAGATCAGACACGCTACGGAGGGTGTCTGGTGATCATTGTGCATAGGCAAAGATCATTTTTTTGATCATGTCATGTGTTTTGAACCAACCTTGGCGGCGTTTTTCTCAATGACGGTAGCAATGACGGTGCACAACGTTCACCAATGGGGGATGAGGGTCTGGAACAGAATTCCTAATGGAGGTTGGACTCTGTGTCCCGACCTCTATATCACTAAAAGGTGTTGTGATTCTCACCACTAGTGATAGAATGGTTATAGATGGTTATAATTGATGGTTGATATATACCATCTATGTGGTTCATTTGGAAATCATTAAGTCAGATGGTTAGTCAGATGGTTCTGAAAATTGGCATAGCCAAAAGAACCAGTGTCTGAACTTCATCGGTGAGGAAACACAACCCTTTCTCTGTGCCAAATTTCCTGACTGATCCATACAGAGTCTGGAATCGTTTGGTACATGACACCCGTTGCTCCATAAGTCTGCCCTTCTACGGAAAGAATTGACATGGCCAAATCATGGCTATGGCTCTAAAAAAGAGCATCAAAACTCCATGTGATTCAGAATTCAATCATAGTTTCAATATGTTTCAATCATAGTTGGAACCCCAAGTTGTTGACCGTTGGTTCATTTTGCTCTAAATTTTGGAAGAATGGGACCCCACGGGGTTGCCATAGCTGCCATTGCCCGGTGGGCCCAGGCTCAAGTTGTGCAGAAACGGAATAAAACGGATGGAAATGGCAGATCATGGCAGAATTCAAAAAGATTAGAGTTCATTGTGATATATTGTGATATACATGGCATAGATCATTATGATATATATATATACACATGATATACGTGGCTCATGGATGTTCATGGGCTCTTGGTGGCTCAGTTCTTCTCGACGGTTTAGATCTGCAGTTTAGCGGCGATCAGACTGAGCTGCTGCCCGGGCAAATGCGGCTGCGAGCATGGGCATTCGGCATGGCTTGCTTGTCCTATTGGAAGCACTAGCATTGCTATGGAAAATCACCATTGTTTACTCAGGGAAAAAAATGGAATGATTACCCTTTTGGTAAACTAACACAACTATGGAAAACCATCATGTGTTATGGGTCATCTATAAATGACAATGTTCAATAGCTTTGTTAAATTACCAGAGATACCCAAGTTGAACGCTCGCAAAGACGATGGCTAACTTACTACACTCGTGTTGAAACTCTCATAGGCTGTTTCTTGACAGAAGTATGGGAAAGTCTCCGAAAGAATTTTTGATGGCAAAGCCGCCGCCCATGCGTTAGGTGGTGCATGAGACTTTTGTACAATGTATAATAATCCAATTGGCAGGTTGGACCATGGTCCGGAGAAAAAGGCTGTGACTCAGCTGTTCAGCTATTCGTGTGGGCCAGTGGCAACCTGCAACCTCCGCACGACAAGTCCGACAGTGGAGACATGATTTGAGGCAGCTGTTGAACCACAGACCTCCTGTCGTAAACCACTGCGGTGGATGAAGCATGATCGAACTCTGATAGAGCCCACACTGCCGCCAGCTACCGAACTCATGGTTTTCTAGTCATTCTAGTCGCTGATCATAGAAAATCTGAAAATGCAACTGTGGATTGGACCTTAGATGATCTTGAAAAGTCCCTTGGATACCTTAGCGAGAAGACACACATGTGTAATTTGTTGCTCCCTGTTTGGGTTCAGCAGTCGATACCGTCCAGTGGCACATGAATTCAGGATAGGCCTCTGAGATTCCACCCACAGTTGATAACATGATTCACATTGATTCACCATCCATTCCTCCAATTTCTCCACTGAGGCAATACAGCAATAGCTAGCTCCAGCAATTGGGGATGTGAAAATTGGCAACGATATAACTGATGTAATGTCTTCAAGAGTGCGAAATGAATGCAGCTCTGCACAATGCAGCTTCAATCCAAGCGGATCTGAGAATTTTCGCGGGTTGCGGAGGCTGAGGGCTAGCGGGGAGTGACTCCAGTTTCTACGCTCGCGCAGAGAGACGATTGAGGCGGCGTCTCTCGATGTCTCTCGTCAGGCAGCAGCCAGCTGCCACTGACGTGACTGGTTCAATATCAGAGCAACAGAGTTGGGGTTGTCAGAAAATGTGGAACCCAAAAAATACAATGGCTGGTATGGTATGGTTCATCATTTTTCGCTTATAAACTGACCATGTTGCGGTGTCCCCATTTGAAAACAAGCATGAGAATTCATGAGAATATCAATTCAAACATTGTGTAGAAAGGACACTGGAAGAACTACGTATAGGTTGATTGGTTGTGTTAAGATGAGCATGCATGAATCGATACTGCAGCTGACTGGATTCTGTAAAGTTGAGGCTTCAGGTATCCAAAATCGATTTTTTGAATCTTAGAGTGGATCATGAATGGAATGACTACTCAAAAACTCAAAACGAAACCCCGACATTAACCGCCTTGGAGTTTCCCGAAGGGATGCCGGGCATTTGCCTCCAATCACAAAAAGCTGTGGACCCAGTTGCCTTGAGAGACTGATTCACGATTACTTTAATTATACAGAGTGTCAAAGTGATTGCAATATAGTGCAGCCCTTTGTTCCTCAAGATGTGGAAGAGAGGCAGAGTCAGGGTCATAGGCGAGTGTCTAGGTGCGCGGTACGCTTGCAGCGGAGCTGCAAGGTTAGATGACGACTGAGAAATGTAATGCCAACAGCAAACTAGTGCGTCTCATTGCGGTATCCAATGAGCCTCTGAGACTTCATTGGGCCATCTGGATCTTGCGTTGGGTTCCACTGGGCTCGACGCTCTGTCCAGTGTACCCAAGGGACTGCAGAGGCAGGAGCTTCCATTTCTGTGCATCGAATTCGATCAAGACACGCCACAACTCCAGTGGCGGTTCTATGGTGCCACCCTTTGAAGCGTGACACGATGTGACGCCTTTTCTCGCTGAGCCGAACAGAGAAGAGCATCACGTCACGGAGGCTGACGCTTCCACTTTTGCATCACAGACTGCGGCCAAGCGGCCGAAACCAATAAATCAGGAAGGCAAGAAAAGGCGTAAGGACGTTCTGAGGGATGTTTGCTTATACCAGACCAGTATACTAGCAATCCTGAATGCAATCATGATATCATCCCAAAGCCCCCTGCAGTGGACTATTTCCACCCAAAATTGCAGGAAGTGGACCTTTGAGAGGAGAAAACATGTTCCCCAAATTTAGTTATACCATCCTCCAAAGCTTGAATTCCTTTGGTCAAGATCGACCAATGGATGCATCTTGTTCATCCACAAGATCATTCGGATTCGATCCCTTTCACTGTACAACTGAAAAAACCACGACGTATATAGGTTATCCCCAAGCACTTAGTTTTATATATACCGTATGTATATCATATACAGTATATTATTATGTAATTTGATTTCGAAACACGAGGATATAGAGTGAGACTTTGTCTGTTGACAGTCCACTAGAATATCCATGAAGTCTGTGAACATAAACATCCAAGTGTCCGGTAAGATACACCATGATACACCTGAAGGCAGCCTGGAAACAGATCTCAACGTTGCGGCAATGTCCTTCGGCGCACAGGAACTCTTGAGTCACGCTGGTCTTGGCAGCAACACACTGCCTGGATGGCTGGTGCTGATCGTTCTTTTCGTGCCTTGACCAATTTCGAAAGGTCTTCCTTTCGATGACCATTCTGTTTGGCAGAGGCAAGTTGACCATACAAATGACCCACGTTGGCGAAACTTACTCTATTCAGGATCATTGAGGTGGTTGTCGATGTTTGTGGCTGCTATGTTTGTGTTTCAATCATGCATTAAGCATTGCAGGCAATCTTAGGATGGGGGCATTTTCCGTAGTGTGAAATTCTATGAAGGGTTATGTTTGATCATGCCAAATTTACCTGACCATTTGTATCCATTTGTCGATTCGTCAGGGAAGCTTACCACCAATGTTGGTCAACGAGAATTACAAAGTGTTCTATTCAAATCGGGATTTGACACTCCAATTTCAACGCCTAGGGCGTCTCAGACTGGGAGAATTTGCTTACATTTCAAGTGATGCTTTGAAACTTCTGCACAACAAATGCACTTTACACCTTGCAGCCAGGATACCCTTCCACTATGCCGGCAGTTGCCTACCACTTTTGCAACTAAAAGTGATTTGGGATGATGTAGGGAAGTACATTGGCTTCTGCTTCGTTCGGTTGCGATGTGAATGCTTTTGCAAACATGTTTTATCCCAACCTAGACCCTTGCAACTGATGCATCAAAATCGGTGTGACCGTCCAGGTACCGTATAGCCTGAATCTGGCTTGCTCAGTTATGAGTCTGAGACTAGGCACAGCCGTGCTTCCATGATCTTTGGATCGCGGTCATGGTGGTCGAAAGTTCCAGGACAGCTTCCCACTTGCCGAATCGCAAGAATCGAAGATAAATCCGGTCCCCTGGAGCATGCCACTTGAATCATTTTGTCATAGGGCTTTGGAAGTTGGATTTCTCTGATTTCAGATGGAGGGAGCAAGTCATCAATTTCAGCTCCACCTGACAATATCTGACAGAAGTCCTGACGAGGCAACACTCTCAGCGAGTTTCTGGAGGAAGAGGAGAGGGGCGAGTGGTGCTGATTTGAATAGTTTACTGATGTATACTGCATGTTGTTACCCTTTGGTAATCAAACATGGCAATGAAACATCCATAAACATCCACTAGAAATGATAAACGGATGTTTCAATGGGAAAGGTTCTTTAAGTATATATAGGATTGTCCATTGCCATTATTGATTACCAGAGGGTACATTGTATTAAATTTCTATGAATTTCTGAATGGTTTGTAGGTGATCATGTTCTTTTGTTTGAGGTGTTTTGGATATGCAATAAACGGAAGTGCATGCGATGGCCCGGTCAGGATTTGAATTGTGGATTAGCGAGCGACGATCGTCCCTTGGTTTGCCTGAGGTTGGGATGAAGCAATGGAATCGCTAGGGCTGAACCGGCTGAACCTTTAAGGGATGACAATCCAAACATATCCAAACAAGTTCGACCCAGAGGAGGCATACAATTGTGACAAAGAGCATCGCTTTCTGCGGCGATTCAAAAGGCCTCATGGCCTCTGGATCCATCGTTGTCGTTGACGAAAAACATGGAACGCTTCAGCGTTCGCATGCGTTCGCAAAAGTACAGCCCGAGGTCTTGCTGAACAGGCGGAACAGGTCAGCGGACAGGACCCTCTTGGCCCTGGCCGGAAAATGGTGAGCATTGCATATAATTGCTATGAATTGCCCAGTAAAGAACTTGCAGGAAAACTTGGAATGCTTGAAGATGACTGCACGGTTGACAGTCAACGCAAGTAGACCAGCCCGACCAGCCCCAGCGCCCCAGCCTCATTGCGCTGGTTGCATTTTCAGGATCGTTGCTGTGTGTGCATGGACCAGCGCAAGGACAAATTTTCACTTCAGGTCGTTGCATTCTGTCCGGACAACAAGTGGTTGCTCGTTTCAGGTTGTAAGAAATCCAGATCTGATCAGTTCCTTTGAATTTCTGAAGATTTGGCTCCAATTTGCAGAAGAACTCATTATCAGAGTTGAGAGTTTGAAGATGTTTGAAGTTCTGGAGAAGCCTCTGAACATATATATTAGCTAAACCCAAAAGGTCGCTGCGGCCTGTTTTTGAAGTTATTTAGACGTATTGAACGTGGGGGGGCGTACGGCCATCTGAACGAGGGTACGGCAGGGGTGCGAACGTGCGAACGGGGGGCGAACGGGGGGGCGAACGGGGGGACGAACGGGGGGGCGAACGTGGGGGCGAACGTGGGTGAATGTACGCACGTACATACGCCGTACGTGCAGAAACACACACACACATGCACACACGTACGCGCATACGTACGCACAGACGTACGCACGTACGTTCGCACGTATGCACGTACGTAGGTACCATGTTCAGACTCATGTTCAAGCCCATGTTCAGACCCATGTTCAAACCCATGTTCAGAAATAAGGTTACCTTTGAAAAGTGACCTCCTAATACTTAATATGCTTTAGGAGGCTTAGGGTCGTACAGAAATAAGGTTACCTTCTATATAAAAGGTAACCTTAAAGGTAACCTTATTTCTGAACATGCATGTGAACGTGCGTGCGTACATCCACATGAACGTGCGTGCGTGCATTCGTACGTACGTGCGTACATGCGTATGTGCGACCCCTTCGTGTGACCCCTTCATGCGCCCTCAAGGGGGGGGGCCCGCCCTCAAAATTGTACGGGTTTCGAATACCAACAACTTTGTACCAGTATTCTTGGGTTGTATAGTAGGTGTACAATAATTTCGGCACAGGTTGACTGTACTAATTATCACCAGGCAAAACAAGACTAGTCGAATCGTTCGCCCGTCCGCTCGCCCCCCCGCTCGCGCCCCCGCTCGCTCGTGCGGGCGACGTTCGTCCACCCGTTCGCCCGCATGTTCGCCCCTACGTTCGCCCCCCCGCTAACCCCTCGTGCGGTTTTCAACATATCCACGGCAGCGAGTTTTTGAGTTTAGCTAACATATATATATATACATATACATATTAGATTGATGTATTATTAATATGTGTACGTGTATATACGGGAGGACCATCAAAAAAAAAAATAATTATCATCAAAAAAAAAATAATTCATCAAAAAAAATTAAATCATCAAAAAGAAATTTAAATAAAGGAAAGAAAAGGAAGGAAGGAAGGAAGGAAGGAAGGAGAGAAGGGAAGCAGGAAAGGAAGGAAGGAAGGAAGGAAGGAAGGAGAGAAGGGAAACAAGAAAGGAAGGAAGGAAGGAAAGAAGGGAAGCAGGAAAGGAAGGAAGGAAGGAAGGAAGGGAAGAAGGGAAGAAGGGAAGAAGGGAAGAAGGGAAGAAGGGAAGCATGAAAGGAAGGAAGGAATGAAAGAAGGGAAGCAGGAAAGGAAGGAAGGAAGGAAGGAAGGAGAGAAAGGAAGCAAGAAAGGAAGGAAGGAATGAAAGAAGGGAAGCAAGGAAAGGAAGGAAGGAAGGAAAGAAGGGAAGCAAGGAAAGGAAGGAAGGAATGAAAGAAGGGAAGCAAGGAAAGGAAGGAAGGAAAGGAAGCAGGAAAGGAAGAACGGAGGGAGGGAGGGAGGAGGGAAGGAAGGAGGGAAGGAGGGAAGGAGGGAAGGAGGGGAAGACAGGGAAAGAAAGGAAAAGAAAGGAAAAGAAAGGAAAAGAAAGGAAAAGAAAGGAAAAGAAAGGATAAGAAAGGAAAAGAAAGGAAAAGAAAGGAAAAGAAAAGAAAGGAAAGAAAGGAAAGAGGAAAGGAAAGAGGAAAGGAAAGAGGAAAGGAAAGAGGAAAGGAAAGAGGAAAGGAAAGAGGGAAGGAAAGAGGGAAGGAAAGAGGGAAGGAAAGAGGGAAGGAAAGAGGGAAGGAAAAGAAAGGAAGGAGGAAATGAAGGAGGAAAAGCAGGGAAGGAAGCATACAAATTGCCATTCTTTACAAATACAAGCTAGCTTTCGAATGAAAGGATGTACCTGACCAGTGGTAGACGGGCTATTTTAGGACCAAAAACGAAACCCATGTTATCGGGAGATTGTTGGAAGTTAGCAAGGAAACATTAAGGACCCCCAAAAAAATGAGGGAGGGTAATTTAATTTGTTTCTTTTTTTTTCTCCTTGGTTCCTGGTGGCTCCTATAGTTCCCTGTGTGGCTCCTGGCTTCTGTGGCTCCTTCGGCTCCTGTGTCCCTGGTGGCTCCTGGTGGCTTCGTGGCTTCTTGGCTTTTTGGCTTCTAGCTGCTTGTCTTTTAGCTTCTTTGGTACATGGCTCCTCCGGCTCCTCTGGCTTCTTCGGCTCCTATGGCTCCTTCGGCTCCTGTGGCTTTTCGCTCTTATGGCTCCTTCGGCTCCACATCTACACCTACGTCTATGTCTATATCTAAATCTCAATCAATCAATCAATCTTTCTTTCTATCTATCTATTTGTCTTTCTATGTATCTTACCCTATCTTACTCTATCTTACCCTATCTTACCCTATCTTTTCCTATCTTACCCTATCTTATCCTATCTTTTCCTTTTTATTCTATCTTTCCTATATTGCGAATGAATGTATCATGACCATGTGACGCTTTGCAAGGGGGAGGCGCCGCGCCCTGTTTTTTTTTAACTTGAATCCTACGTGGGTACTGCATGAGTATTGAGCATATTTATATACGCTGTCAAGGCTCACGAGAGGTATAGAGTAATCCTGTGGACACCACTCATGTGACGCTTTGCGGGGGGAGGCGCTGCGCCCTCCCCCCGCGCCCACGCCAGAAAAGGTGGGTATGATAAGGGCCCACCTACATTGAAATGAATGTATCATGACACCATGGGACGCTTTGCAGGGAGGAGGCGCCTGCGCCCTCCCCCCGCGCCCCCCTCCCGCCTTTTATTTAACCCCTCCCCCGTGGCTTGTGACAACGCCAAGCAAGGGGATGGATAAGGCCCACCTACATATGCAAAGAATGTATCATGACCATGTGACGCTATGCGGGGGAGGCGCTGCGCCCTCCCCCCGACGGCCCCCTCACCGCACCTTTTTATTTAACCCCTACCCCCGCAGGCTGTGTGACAACGCCAGAAAGGTGGATGATAAGGAACCAACCTACATTGGCAAATGAATGTATCATGACACATGTGACGGCTTTGCGGGGGGAGCGCTGCCGCCCTCCCCCCGCGCCCCCCTCCCGCCTTTTTATTTAACCCCCCCCCCGCGGCTTGTGACAACGCCAGAAAGGTGGATGATAAGGCCCACCTACATTGCAAATGAATGTATCATGACCATGTGACGCTTTGCGGGGGGAGGCGCTCCCCCCGCGCCCCCCTCCCGCCTTTTTATATTTGAAAGCCCCACCCGCGGCTTGTGACAACGCCAGCAAGGTGGATGATAAGGCCCACCTACATTGCGAATGAATGTGTCATGATCATGTGACCCAAGGCATTTCCAGGGGGGGAGGCCAAACATGTGGCTCTTGTTGAGTTACTTTGGTTATAGTTGAAAACACCAAACATACAAAGCGAACCAACCAAGCAACCGAGCAACCGAGCAACTGACCAGCCAACTAGCCACCCAGCCCACATGCTTGGTTTGTTTCTGTGCTGTGACAACGCCACAAAGGTGGATGATACGGCCCACCTATACTGTTCTGTTAGGGGGAGGCGCTGCGCCCTTGTTTTTGTCTTAACTTGAATCCTACGCGGGTACTGCATGAGTATTGAGCATATTTATATACGCTGTCAAGGCTCAAGAGAGGTATAGAGTAATCCTGTAGACACCACTCATGTGACGCTTTGCGGGGGGAGGCGCGTTGGTGCTTTTTTCAGGAACATGGCACTGGTGCCCGATGCATTTCCAGGGGGAGGCCACATGTATGGCTCTTGTTTTGTCAACCTTTTGTTATTTTGGTTCGGTTGCACGCACGCACACACACACACACCAAACGACTACAACCAAGACAGCGAAGAAGCGAACCAGCCAAGCAACCAAACAACCAACCAACCAGGCAACCAGCCAACATGCTTGCTGTGCTTCCGTGCTGTGACAACGCCACAAAGGTGGATGATACGGCCCACCTATACTGTTCTGTTGGGGGGAGGCGCTGCGCCCTTGTTTTTGTCTTAACTTGAATCCTACGCGGGTACTGCATGAGTATTGAGCATATTTATATACGCTGTCAAGGCTCAAGAGAGGTATAGAGTAATCCTGTAGACACCACTCATGTGACGCTTTGCGGGGGGAGGCGCGTTGGTGCTTTTTTCAGGAACATGGCGCTGGTGCCCGATGCATTTCCAGGGGGAGGCCACATGTATGGCTCTTGTTTTGTCAACCTTTTGTTATTTTGGTTCGGTTGCACGCACGCACACACACACACACCAAACGACTACAACCAAGACAGCGAAGAAGCGAACCAGCCAAGCAACCAAACAACCAACCAACCAGGCAACCAGCCAACATGCTTGCTGTGCTTCCGTGCTGTGACAACGCCACAAAGGTGGATGATACGGCCCACCTATACTGTTCTGTTGGGGGGAGGCGCTGCGCCCTGGTTTTTGTTTTAACTTGAATCCTACGTGGGTACTGCATGAGTATTGAGCATATTTATATACGCTGTCAAGGCTCAAGGGAGGTATAGAGTAATCCTGTGGACACCACTCATGTGACGCTTTGCGGGGGGAGGCGCTGCGCTCCCCCCGCGCCCCCCTCCCGCGCCCCCCTCCCGCCTTTTTATTTTAAAGCCCTGCCCGCGGCTTGTGACAACGCCAGAAAGGTGGATGATAAGGCCCACCCACATTGCGAATGAATGTGTCATGATAAGGCCCACCTACATTGCGTCCATTCCAACATAGTAGACATACACCTTTGCAAGTCAAAATGGGGATGGCAGCTGACCATTGCTGTGTGGGGGCCTGGAACTGGTGGCCGGGTGGCCCAACGACTCAGCTGCCTTGCAAGTAGGGCTGTGTGGCTCGAACGCTAGGTCCTGGGAATTGGGTACGCTTGGTCGCTGGGCCAGGTAACTTACACGCATGGAAGTTCGATTCCCGCACGTTCCCATCTTTCTTGGCATTACCAAACCTGTCGCAGCCAACCTGCTCAGCTTCGTCTACTGTCCTCCTGCTACTTCCTCTGGGTTTTAGCGCCAGGCTTGACCTATTGGCCTCTGGCCATTTGGCTTTTGGCTCTTTGGCCTTTTTCAAGCATACTTCATCGCGTAGCCGTGCATTGTTGTGCAAGCTTCCGTATACAGCAGGCCCACCCACCCGTGCCTGGAAAACATGATGGAAAGAATGGTTTTTGTAGCCCATTGGATTCAATGTTGTTTGGCCCAGTGCCTCGTTATTGAACAGCTTGCGAACCAATACGTGTTCCTTGTGCGATGACTCGTACATGTCGGCGTCGACCAAGCCCACCCAACCGTCCCTCCCAAGTATATTCCTTTTTTAATATACTTTTTCTGCTAGTAATAATTGTTTTACCAATGACCCCCAAAAAAAATTTAAATCATCAAAAAATAATTTAAACATATTTTTTTGATGATGCAATGCACAGATTTCATGATGCTTGTATTTTGCGTTTGGCTTGCGCAGCCCAGGATATGAGGGAATAATTTTTTTTGATGAGTTTAATTTTTTTTGATGGGAAATTAAATTTCTTTTTGATGACTTTTAATTTTTTTTGATAGCTGACTCGTGATATACTTTGTGACATGACATGTTATATTACAATGCAATAACAAACAATATGAGAAAACAGTATTTAAAAAACTAAAAACATAATTGTATTATATTGTCTGATATCATATCATGACATATCATATATCATATATATCATATATCATATCATACCGTTTTTTATTACGCTATATTGAGGTCTTGTAGTCTGTGTCATGTTTGTTGTAAGTTATATCCTATCGTTCCTTGTTAGTAAACATATATACCATATCCCCGGGTCTCCAGGACTCTGTGATCACACCATGTGGACATCGAGCTGTTTGCATCGTTTGCGCAAATGTCCTGAAGGCCATCCAGGGATACCACGAATTTCAGACAAAGACATGATGATAAATTAGGTATGCCCCTATCTTCCGACAAACCTAAAGCAGGCCCTTCGGGAAGGAAAAGCTGCTTGAAATATGAGATTACAATGCTATTACAATGCTATTACAATGCTATTACAATGCTATTACATGCTATTACTGTACATGCCATTACTGTACATGCCATGACATAGTACTCGGTCCGAAGCCAATTTTGGCACATGTTTATTCCGCATTTGTTTTGGAATGCCATTTTATTTGTATGTTCAACGATCCATGATAGATGTGTTTTTTCCGCGCTTATTTTGTCTGCGGATTGGTGACCGACAAATCACATCAGCTAACACTCCCTGATGAGCCGATCTGAGGGGCGCGGCCGACAATGCCTGTAGCCTAGCTGGCGGATGCTATGTGGTCCTGCAATTTCAAAAAAAATGATGGCGTCAGGGGAATTTGGATTAACGGCTAGCGGCTAGCCTGGCAGAACAGTAGCCTTTTTTCGGGCGCAAGTTGGACAATGCTCTATGAAACATCCGAATACATCCGAAACAGTCCCTTTTATGTAGGCTGTACAGCCCAGGAAGCCCCTAAAATGCTTACCAAATGTAGGCGGCCCAGTGGGTTGGCACCTACAGCCTCGTGTTTCAGCCCTGGGGGGTTCTTTGGAGGTGCTGGGGCACCAAGGTCCAGTGTGTCGCAGCGCCATCATTGGTGTGGTGCGGGTCACTGCCTTACAGTTGCCATGGCTGTCCTCAGTCAGTTCCGACGCTCTGGAGTAAATGTGATTTCCCCTGATCTCTTGATGATCCAGATGTAGAGTCTATAGTAGTAGAGGTTTATCGTGAGCGAAGACCGACTATATCATTATGTATACATGTATATTATATATATACAACACATATGTATATAATATATATATATATATATTATATATTATATATACATGTATATGATTTGTATATGTTTATAGATAATATATATGTATATATATATATATATTAGTATTATTATTATTATTAGTAGTAGTAGTATGTTTATATTCTTATATTATTATATTATTATTATATTGTCACATTATTATATTATTGCATTATTATCTTATTATTGTTATATTATTATATTACTATTAGTGTTGTTATTATTATTATTTTGTATATAAGGATTATTTACGTACATATATATATATATATATGTGTGTACATATATATCTAGAGTTCCAGTGTGTTTTCTGTGATTTCCGTTTAGTGACATGCATTACCTCTAGTAGCTATGATGGGTAGGCAGTGACGGTTGTATTACTCCTTGGTGCGTATGTCCGTCACTCTCACTGAGGTCTTTGATTCATAGATCCGCAGCAACAGGTGTCATGACGGAACCTTCAGCGCTAGGAGTCTAAAAGGATTCCTATCTGCCGATCTGTGCAGAAGTAATCGAAAAAAATGCTGTGTGCATGCACATCATACGGAACAACCATGGCGAACTTCCAGTACTTTGTAGGCTGCTAAAGAGAATTTACTGCAATGCGGGCAGGTATTTGGACTGCTGCCAGCACATGTACTTGTTCATCCTTGCCAGCACAAGCCAATGCAGCATACTGATGCATACTGTAGGTGGTGCCAGGCGATTGCAACCTTGTTCGTATACAATCCGAATAGCATAAATAATCTTTATCGCCAGATTTGCTCCTGTCCTGGTTTCGAAAAGCCCAAACCTTACTGCCTGGCGTATGCTCAAGCTCCGACACTGCCAAAAACGACACCAGCTGTTGTCCAACATGTTTCACATGTTTTCTCGGCAAATAGTGCCATTAGAGTGATATTCAGGTCTCTCAAATGAATCACAGGGGTGACATGAGTAGAATTATGTATATAGTTTGATATAGTTTACTGATATAGTCTACAAATATTAATAGTTGTGCAATGTTGTGCATATAATATCTATATATAATATGCTGTTTTTACCACAGCACTCATAGGCGTTGACATGCCTATTCCGTGAAGTATTGGCTGAAAAGAGCCGCGGAGCGAGATTCATGAGGCGTTGAACACCCCTCCTTGTCCAATCGATTCCAGTGACTCTTCATATCCTACTTGAGCACTTCTACCGCTTGCACGGTAGCGGAGCCTGCCTACGGGCGGGCGTGAGACCAGGGACCTACAGCCTCCTATTGCCAGAGCCATAGGAGGAACAACATGGCGGAGAAGCAGAAAAGGATAGAGAAGACGCGAGAAGGAGTTCCCATTTGGGATGGAGATGCCGGAACATATCAGGAGTTTGAAGAGAGCGCTTTGCTGTGGGAGCAATCCATAGCGATGCACAAGCGCTACTTGTGCGGCCCGAGGCTTCTCACAGAGCTGACGGGCACTGCTCGCAGGTTCACTGTGGGCAAGCATCCCGAATGGCTCTCCTTCAATGGAGGCGTGCAGCGGCTTCTGACGTACCTGAGGTCAAACTTGGGCCTTCCACAGATGCCTGAACTGACGGATCATTTGAGCCGTTACTTCCGGCAGTCCAGGCGCAAGAAGGGGGAGACCATGAATGAGTACGTCACTAGGAAGTCAGAACTGTATGCAAGAGCTAGGCAAGGACTTCACAGGGTGATGTCTCACTATGAGAAAAAGAAGCCAGCGTGGGAGAAGAGCTACGGCGGCTATAGCCGTCCGGGGTCCACCGACCCTTGGGCCAACTACAGGAGGACACCCTCCCTGGCTGGCAGTCAGAACCTGAGTGCTGAGGAGATTCAGGATGATCGGGAAGCGCTTGCTCGACCTGATGATCAAGCTGAGGCCACCGAGGATGCAACTGAGGAGCGAAGCTCCACTGGTCCAGGTCCTTCAGGAGACTCCTGGAGTTATCCGGACTGGTGGTCAAATGACTGGTGGAGTACCTCTTGGACACCTTCCGAGAATGCCGACTGGAATGTGGAAGCCCCTGAACTACTACCAGAGTATGTCCAGGGCTGGTACCTCTTGTTTGATTCTGGCCTAGACACCAACGAGCGCAACATGGTCGTGGCAGCCCTGAAGGGCGACTTCACTATGACCCGAGTGGCACAGGAGCTACGCAGCCAGTGGACTGATGAGGACTTGCGTCGTCGAGATGCAGCCAATCGTCACTCCAGCTGGTGGGTGGATGAGAATGAAGAGGCCGAGTCTGAGGACTATGACACTGCCTGGGTTGCCCAGGCTCACCGCAACTTCAATGACGAGGGCCTCGCACGCCTGGGTGAAGCTGAAGATGTGGCTCAAGAAGCCCTAGCCATGATGGAGCGCGGGCGTCGCACCTTGAAAGAGGCCAGACAGAAACAACATCAGGTGAGGATGTCCCGGAAGTACTACCGCACCAACTTCAAGCCCTCTGGAAGCACTTCGGCTGTAGCTTCGGGCACAGATCAAAAGTGCTTCCGATGTGGTGGTCCTCACAAGACTTCATCATGTCCAAAGGCAATGGCAACAACGACAGCCTCTTCAGCCGAAGAGCAGGCTGCACCTTTCATCTGTTTTGCACAAGACCAGATCACCAAGGACCATGAGATTGTGGAGCCCTATGTCCCGGACGACCACGAGGTGAACTACCTGGATGCTGGGTTCTCCGATGCTTGCCCAGAGGCCTTCTTTGATGTTGCCGACACCAGCAGCATAGGGCCTATCTCCACTCAGATGGCCGTCGAGCAAGGCAAGGCTGTCGTTGATGGAGGGGCTACAAAGACCCTTGGCAGCGTGGTGGCCCTCGAGAAGATCATTGCCCTCAACAAGTACAAGCATGGGACTTCTCGCCTGGCCGACCTTGACTTGGAGAACAAGCCTACGTTTGGTTTTGGAAATTCATCAAAGAACCAGTGCGTGTCCACAGCCTCACTCGAGGTTCAAGCCGATGGCAAACCTGGACAAGTACAAGTACATGCGTTGGATGCGGGAGCAGGACCTGTGCTGTTCTCCATTGAGTCCTTACGGGCCTTGGGAGCAATCATCGACTTCTCCGAGGACATGGTCGTCTTCCGCAAGATCAACCCGTCCAAGATCATCAAGATGGAACGTTCGGCCACTGGCCATCAGCTGCTGCCCATGACTCAGGATTGGTACAGTGATGCTCAGAGCACTGCACAGCCAGTGCCGAGCCTGAATGCTTTCCTGTAGGGACAACTCCTTTCTTTCCGTGCGCCTGAGATGGAAAGGAAGGTCAGTAGCGATGTTTCAGGCACTTTTCACAACCCCTTGAACATGGTTGGTGATCCGAGCATTCATGATGGTGTTGGGTGTGTTGTTCATGACCATGTGGTTGTTGATGATGAAAAACTTTCCCAGGGTTTCCATGGACATGTTGGAAAAATCTCAGACAGCAGTCAGTGTACAGAGCCAGAACAACCGCATCCTGCAGCTCTCCAGCACAAGCTAGACGAGATCCCCAACGAGTCAGTGAACAAGAGACATGCCTCGTGCCACCAGAAAGGAACTGGTGGAAGAGCTCCTGATGACCTTTGGCGAAACAGCTCCAAAACAGTGGAGCATCATGGAGATCGAGAGCCGCCTTTTGGAACTCAAGGAAGCCAACGGGATGATCACTCAAAAAGGGAAGGTACGGCCACCGATGCGCCATGCCATGATCGAGCTGAACAAGGCCAGCAAGAAGAAGTCCGACCTTGTGGACTACGTGAACAACAAGCTCATGGTGAAGACCCGCGGCACCGAGACCATTCAGGAGCTGCAGCGCTTGGGCACCAAGAAGATCTACCAGACCACAGCCGCCTCTCCGGAGGATCCTGTGGGGTTCGGGGAACACTGCAGTCTGCAGTACCACGAGCTTCTAGCCCAACACCCACAGTATGCCAGTTGGGTCGCGAAGACCGCCACCGAGGGGGAATGCGACTACCGCCTGGCCCGTCTGGCCAATTGGCTCCAGAGCCCAGAGGCACAGCATCCGATGCCGACCTACAAGCAGACCTCCAGCGGCTACAAGAACACATCGACGCCGGCCAGCGGCTCGAATGGCAAGACCGAGAACATGATGATGCAGATGATGCAGATGATGCACGCCCTCAAGGAGGACGTGGACAATCTGAAAGCCGAGAGGCCTCACAAGAAGGTCGAAGCATCCAGTGTCTCCGAGATGACAGAGTCATCCACAGGCTCTTTCGTGCCGATCCCACAGTAGCTTCAGCTGGGAGTGTAGAAAACTTTAATTTGTCACAGGCGGGAATGCAGGTCGATAGTGAGCTCTGGAGGGGCTCATGTGAAGCCTTACCTGAGCAAAAAGTAAGACACTTGTCCCATTGCAGTGACAGATTGATTTCGAATGCCTTTGAGGCCCTGCTATCACACCAGCGCATAGAGCTGCTGGAAGTGGCATGTTCGGCCGACAGCGTGCTGTCTCGCACCATGCAACAAAAGAAAGGTGACGAGGGTGCGGCCCGACGCTGCTCACTTTTCAATGAGTATGATTTAGGAACCAACCAGGGGATTCACAAAGTCATTCAAGATATTGACCATTATAAACCAAAACATGTTTGGCTTTCTCCGGTTTGTGGACCTTTTTCAGTGATGCAAAACATCAACCAGAGAAGTGAAGCTCAGAAGGAGGCCCTTTCTGAGAAGCGCAAAGCTGCCATGAAACAGTATGTCGGTTGCAGTGTCATATATACGTACTGTATTCAGCATGGTATACATGTCACTTGGGAATGGTCACAATCATGTCAGGCATGGAGGCTTCCCATGATGCAGGAACTGGTGAAGAAACATAATCCATGGTTTGCTGTGGTACGGGGTTGTCGTGTTGGTCTTGTTGATGATGAGAAAAACCCAATTTCGAAAGGCTGGAAACTCATGACCACTCATGCTTTGTTGGCAAAAAGGATGAACATGCCATGTAGCTGTGGGCCTCACCAGAAACATGTGAAGTGCGAGGGTTCCCTTACCAACAAAACTGCTTATTACCCCCCCGAATTTGCCCGAAGGGTCTGTGATGCGTTGATTCATGGAGCGGAAGATGAAGACCTAAAAAGGGAGTTTGTGGGAGACCACCAAATTGGGGAAACTTTTGGTAATGGGATCAGTTGCAGTTGTCACCACATTCATGATTCTCAACATGGTTTTGTTTGCGGTTCATGTGTTCATGATGAGCATGAAAGAATCAAGGGAACCAATCATGGGAAGTGTGACAGTAAGGGGAACCACGAAGTTCTGGTTGGGGAAGATAACCAACAAAGGGGTCAGGGTCTGACTATTGAAGAAATAAGAAAACGACTGTACCTCTTACATGCTGCCACTGGCCACGGGCCAACCAGACACCTGGTGCAAGCCCTGCGACGCAGGGGAGTGTCAGAGGATGTGCTCAGGGAAGCCGAACGTTTTGAGTGTTCAGTTTGTAAGGAACGGGGTAGACCGAAGCCACGACCTTTAGCCACCTTGGAGCCTCACCCCCCAAAATGGGCGTCTGTGTCAGGGGATATTGGGCACTGGGAACACCCACAAACTAAGGAGTCCTATCAATTTTTGATGTTCGTTGATGAGGGATGCCGTTTTCGTGTTGGAAAAATTGTTCTTACGGGGAAAAGAAGTCACCTTACTGCCAATCAGTTTGTTGAAACGTTTGGGGAACACTGGGTTCAGTATTTTGGTTTTCCTAATCAACTCAGGGTTGATCCGGATGGTAGCTTCAGGAGTCATGTGGTTCAAGAATACTGTGATAGGCACCAAATAATGTTGGACATTATTCCGGGTGAAGCTCACTGGAAGGTGGGCATTTGTGAACAGGCTATTCAGGGTACCAAGACTCTCATGAACAAAATAGCTGAAGATGACCCAGAAGTCACCGCAGCAGAAGCTCTGGCTGAAGCCACTAGGACCTTTAATAGCCGAGAACTGATCCGAGGCTATTCGCCCATCCAACATGCCCTTGGCCGCGCGCCTGATGCCACCGGGCGACTTTTCCCTTGCAGCCCAAGTGAATGTCCAGAGCTGCTGGTAGAGAACGCCTCTGGTGAGATGGATCGCCAGCTCCAGCGAATGCAAAGTGCGGAAAAGGCCTTCCTTGAATGGACGGCAAGCCGGAGACTCCAAAAAGCCAAGAACTCAAAACCCAGAGATGTCACCAACTATGAGCCAGGAGACCTAGTGTATGTGTGGAGAAAGCAAGTGAGCGGCCAAGCAGCCATTAAGGGTGGCTCGTTTGTGGGGCCAGCCCGCATCCTGGCGGTGGAGCAACATCGCTCTCCCGACGGGACCCACAAGCAGGGCAGCTCAATTTGGTGCGTCAGAGGGAGAAGACTTCTCAAGTGCTCCCCAGAGCAACTACGTCGAGCCTCCGAGCGGGAGGTCCTCTTAGAAGAACTACATGCCAAACAGTACGATGACTGGGACTTTGATAGAGTAGCTCAACAACTTGGAGGGAACGAGTTTCTGGATGTGTCCACCGAGGTACCCTCTTATGCAGAATGGCTACGAGCTCAAGATCCAGTCCAAGAATGGCAACCAATGAGAAGATGTGCAAGAAAACGAGGCCCCATGGTAGATGAGATGAGTGGCATGGGACCGGCTCCTCCAACATCCAGGCCAACAGAGCGATCCAGGAGTCCAACTTCCAGGCCTACGCCTTCTACATCCTCAGGAGCACCCGTGTCACAGAGGCCTCGAATGTGTGCCCAACAAGGCATGGCTGCTGCCCCACCATGGTGGAACCAGTCAAGTATCCAGGAAGTGTTTGCAGTCACCGAGAGCACCTTCTGGATGGATGAGACCGCGGCCGTGGCCGTGGAGGTTCCCATGCCAGACACACGTGCTGGATCTGAACGAGCTCTTCGAGATCTCCCTTCTTATTTTGCCAGTAGCTTGAAGAAACGGTCAGCAGTTGAAGTCTGTGAGCGTCACCTATCTGAGGAAGAGCGACAACAGTTCCGATCTGCAAAGGCCGTTGAAGTGAGTAACTTCATAGCTGCCAAGGCTTTTGAAGCCCTTCCAGAGAAACTTCGCCCAGCACGCGAACAAGCAGTGAAGATGCGCTGGATACTGACATGGAAGCAGAAGGAGGATGGCAGCCGAAAGGCGAAAGCCAGAGCCGTCCTCTTAGGATACCAAGATCCATGCTATGAACAGAGAGCAACGACTTCTCCAACCACGACTCGCCAGACCAGGCAACTGCAGATGCAATTAGCCGCTTCATATCGCCACAAGATGCGAAAAGGTGATGTGACAGGTGCTTTCCTGCAAAGCAGGCCATACCCTGATGACCTTTTTTGTATACCATGCCCAGAGATCTGTGAAAGGATGGGACTCCCAGCAGAGTCAATCACCAAAGTGAAGAAAGCCTGCTATGGCTTAGTTGATGCGCCCCTGGAATGGTATCGTTCCATTTCCGATTTCTTTGCAAAACTCGGATTGCAAAAATGCTGGAGTGACGCATGCTGCTGGGTTTATGTGGTTGATGGGGTTACCAAAGGGATTATTTCTGGTCATGTTGATGATTTCCTTTTTAGTGGGGATGAAACGCATGAGGGTTGGTGTACTGTTCTCAAGAGTATCCAAACGGAATATAAATGGGGAGATTGGGAAGAAAAAAGGTTTACCCAATGCGGAGTTCAAGTGGAACAACATGAAGATTTTTCCTTTTCGTTGTCGCAACCGAAGTATGTTGAAGACTTGAAATATATTAACCTGAGAGCCTTCAGGAAGAAAGACCGAAATGCACCCACTGAGGA